TCGGGTGTGGGAAAGAATTCTGAATCGGCACCATGGTAAAGCAGGTGCTTCACTTTAAGCATGTTCTTCTGTTCTAATGTCTGAAGTCTCCTTGTGTACTAATGATCAGTAATAATAAATAAGATTATTTCATGAATAGTGGTAAGGCCTGTGAGGATGGTGAAAGGATTCGCAAACCTGCCCTGTAGTGACAGACTCCAGGAGCTCAGTTGGATTAGCAGAGACAGGGAAGGGGTGACTGGGTCAGTCTATAGGGACTGTGATCATGGGCTCTTCTGTCTCGCAGCCAAAGGGCTGGAAGCGAGACTGTCACACTGGATATCGGCAGGGAGGGTAAATGAACCCGGGACAGCTTTCCCAGGGTCCGGATGGATTCTCAGCACTGGCCCTTTCCCAATGGAGCCGGGACGTTCTGCTCTCAATGAAGCAGGAGTTAATCCAGGGAGGGCGGGGACCTGATTTCTCTTCTCTCCCGGCTCCAACACGGGGAGAACAGGCCCTCGTCCTCCCTGGATTAATTCCAACACTTCCCTCTTGCTCCCCCTGCTCTGGCCCCCACAGCCAAACCCCACCCAGCAAGTGCACTCGATGGGGGGCGGGGAAGGGCTGCAGGGCAGAAGGCTCCTGAGCTGTTGTGGGGCGCAGCCCGGGCCCCCCTTACCCAACGTCCTGGCCAGGCTCATTGGTTGCTGCTACTTGGGGAGTCTCCCTGTGCCCTTTGGGGGGTGGCTGCTTGTGTCCCTGATCAGATCCAGGGCCCCGCCAGCCAGTGAGGATCTGGAGTGACCCCCGGCTCTGTTGATGAGGATTGAGGGGAAGAGCAGAACCAGACCAGCCCCAGGCCCCAGCGAGGGCCGCACCTACCTCCAGCTCGTAGAAGGCCATGAGCACGGCGAAGCTGGTCAGGTGGTTGCACTGGCAGCGGGTGATGGTGGCGTTCAACTTCTGCAGGGTGCAGCCGTCGGTGGCCCAGCGCCTGCTGTCAGGCTCCCAGTAGGCGCAGAGGAGGCGCAGGTCGGTCTTGTTCTCCTGGGGACAGAGAGACACTTGGTGCATCGGGGGCAGGAGCAGGGTGAGGGGCTGGCTGAGGCCGACCTCCCCAGGCCCCAAGAGAGCAGGTCGGGGGGGTATGAGGGGCAGGGCTGGGGGCACAGAGCATCAGTTTGTACCTGGGTGGAAGGTGGATTCACCTGCTGCCCAGAGTGGGGGCTGTTACTAGAGATGGGGCCAGCTCTGCCCTCCAGCGCCCCAGGCTCTCCTCCCCCCATGCCCAGCCCAGGGGCTCACCGGCACCGGGTGGCTGAAGCGGATGCTGACGGAGAGGCCGGGTGCCTGGGGGTTCGGGTCACTGATGAAGGCCGACGCCACTGGAGACAGCACACGGTAGCTGGGCCGCCCGGGCTTCTGCGCCCACTTCCCCGTCTGGCCGATCTCGTCCCACTCGGGCGCCTCCACCCGCCCAGCACCATCCAGGATGGGGCTCATCCCCTGGTATGTCAGCAGCCCGGCCAGCGTGAAGCCTGCGAGAGACAGAGGAGACGGATGAAATGGGGGGCAGAAGGGGCCCTGGGGCAGACTGGTGCCGGGGGCGCTGTGCTGCTGGGGATGCTGCCCCCCATGCCCTGGCATTGTCCCATCACTATACACATCCCAGACTCGCACTAGGGGGCACTGGACTGCTGGGGGTGCTGGCCCCAATGCTCTGGCCGTGCTCTGTCCCCCTTCACACCCCAGCCTGGCACCAAGGGGTGCTGTGGTGCTGCTCCCAATGCCCTGGCCGTGTCCATCGCTATACACACCCCAGCACAGGGGATGATCACATACCTTCATTTTCCTGCCCTGGGGCTCTGGCCCATTTTAATTCCATCTGCGTCTTGCTCTGCTGCAGCGTCACCGTCTCCTGGCTCTGGTTCCCAGCCTGCCTGACCGCCAGCCCCAGCTCTGCAACCACAATGCCGGCCAGGGCTCACAACAGAGACACGGAGAGGAAACCTGTAGCTAGGCAAGGTGCTTTCCTGGCTGCAGGGAGGGATCCTAGCTACTCCAGTTCCATCGTCTCCAAGCAGGGGGCACTGTGGGGAGTGGGGCGGGAGCACTGGCTGTGTGAGGGAGCTCCCATCTCCCAGCAGGGGCCGCTGTGGGGAGTGGGTTGGGAGCACTGGCTGTGGGGAGGAGCTCCCATCTCCCAGCAGGGGGCGCTGTGGGGAGTGGGGCTGGAGCGTAGGCTGTGGGTGATGAAAGCCCAACTGGGGCCACGTGGCCAGGCACTGACCTGTGCCGTTGGGGGATGCGATGCTGATATTGCTGTCACGCAGGGTCAGGGCCAGCGTTCTCATCAGCTTCTCCACTGTGGCCATGAGCTCCGTCGCGCTCCGGTGTCTCTGCTCCACGCTCTCGCTCTGCTGCCCAACCAGATTTATCAGCTTCTCCAGAATGTCCAAGAAGTCCTGGCCAAGCAAACATGCGGGGTGTTGGTGTCACAGTGCCTGAGCTCCTGCCGCGCCCCCCATTCACATATTGCTAGTCCTCCACTGCCTTCCCACAATCCCCCTGAAAGGAAAGACAAGTTCTCCTGCAATTGACATCGCTGCCTGGGTGGTCAGACTAGATGATCACAATGGTCCCGTCTAGCCTAGGAACCTAGGAGAGCTAGCTTCTTGGGCACAGAGCCCCCTGGAGAGGCAGGCATGGGAATTTATGGGCAGTGCTCCTGTTTATTTATCTCCTGTTCCAGGCACTGCATCCCTATAGATCGCCCTGCGACTAGATCCGAGTAGGAGCAGCAATTCCTCCCCCTAACGGGAACAAACCCAGCAAGGCCCCCAATTTTGGCTTTGCACCTGCAGCTTCTCTTCGGCGTTCTGAGAGTTCATCTGCTTCAGATCCTCCAGCGCCGCCTTCCAGAGACATCCCTCCTGGGCCGGGAAGCTGCCCAGAAAGTTCTGCAAAACAAGGCCCACGCCTGGCTCAGGAAAAGAGATCACAGAATCGCAGCCCATATCCCCGTCCCGAGAGGCTCCCTCGGCTCAGAAGCCGGGCGCCAGAGGGAGCGCGGGCAATGCCCCGTCTGGCCCCTAGGGGGTGCCCGGCATTTGCAAGGGAGGGTGGGGGACGGCAGTTGCAAGCTGAAGCGAGTTGCAGCAGCCTGATGCTGCCGATCCTGGAGGGTGAGAATCACCCCGGGGCAAAGGCCTAGGCCGTGGCTGGACTGCAGGGGCTCCAGGGACTGGCCACTGGCTCTTTGCCCAGGGGCGAGTTTGGCCCCAGAATCCTCGTGGGGCGAGATCAGTGAAAAGCAACATGGCACTAAAGGGGAATCGGGGTCTATCCCCCCCCGGGGTCTGTGCCCCGCTCACCTTGGCTTCAGCAGAGTTGTCATCGTCCGGCAGGGGGGGGCTGGTGAGCTCTGGGGATGGAAAGGGAGGAGGAGTGAGAGATGGGTGGGGGAAATGTGGGGTCTGGCTGGGTAGGTGCATGCACCAGAGCCAGGCACAGAGCAGGACTCCCTCCCTCCAGCAGGGGGAGCAGTGACACTCCCCCCCCACACACACACTCAGTCCCACATATGTGCACA